AATTCAAGGAGTTCATCATCACCAAGCCCTTATTATATGAAATGTTAAAGGGACTTATCTAAGAAAAAGAAGTTAAAGAAACATGAACAGTGAAAGAACAGCAAACTCACAGTTATTAACAACCACACCTAAAACAAAAGCAAACTTAAAGGACAGCTAGATCAGGAGTGGAACCATAGAAATGAAGATCTCAAGGAGGGTTAGCAACAGGGGAGTGGGAGGAGGAGATGGGGGGAGAAGGTACAGAAAATAAGTAGCATAAGTAGATAGAAAATAGATGGGGGGGCAAGAATAGTATGGGAAATATAGAATCTAAAGAATTTGAGACACATGGTCATAAACTAAAGGGGGGGTAATGGCGGGGATGGGGGGTAGGGTGGAGGGGAATAAAGGGGGGAATAGAACAACTGTAATGGCATAATCAATAAAAAATAAATTAAAAATAAATAAATAACAAGACAAATGAACAAACTAAACAAAACAGACTCATAGATATAGAGAATAAACTGATGACTTGCCAAAAAAAAAAAAAACCCAGTAAGATCAATAGGTAAAAACCAAACATTCCTTAATATAAGAGCAGCAACTCAAAATCAACCTGGGCGGGTCCTGATGGTGCCTGCTGATCTACCAGGGCTTTCCTGGAAACTGGAGATCCCAGCTGTTGGTGTGCAAGGACCCAGGAGGGGCTGGGCACCATCACTGGATGCTGTATGGTGTCCCAACTTCTTAGAGCACTGAATCTGAGTCCTCAGTTATCTGGTAATTTCATATTACAAGCACCAGAGTTTCTAGTGCTTAGTAGCTCAATTAATAGGTCGTTAAAAAGTAAGATGGACTTTTTTGAAATTTGTGGCATCTCTCAGAGGATCCTTTTGGTCTATTGCTCTATTTCACACAATTAAATCAAATGTATGGATTGTTAGGAGGGGAGAGGAAGAGGGGCAGCTGAAACGTGGGAATAGTAAGTTCCACCAAGCCCCCTGCTTCTATGCCCTAGAGATAAATGAGGGATGAGAGATGGAAACTCCCTTATACTCTCTGCTTTACCCTCCTTTCCACTCTTCTTGGTCCTTTCAGGTGAGTTTTCCTTATCCCGTTTAGTCAGCTGCTCCACCCCCACTCTCACCCTCTACCCTATGATTCATTCATACTGTCTTTCCTGAGCCCAGCTTTGCTCTGGGTCACCCATCCCCTTCAAGGAAACTTCCCTGCTCATGGTGAATAATTCCTTAAGGATAAATAATAGCTTCCTTTTGAGGGCTTGCTCTGTATTAGGACCTTTATGTATAGTACACATTATCTCCCACAACTTTACACAGCCTTGCAAGATAAGGAATAATCTACTATTTTTGTAGATGAGAGAACAAGACTTGTAAAAGTTTAGCACCTTGCTCACGACCACATACTGAAAGGTGACAGAAGCAGGACTCAGTAGTCCCTGCCTGGACCTGCTGGCTTCAAAGCTGAAGCATCTTTCCACTGCATTGCACTTTGGCCAGTGGGCTCTGCCCAAAGCCCTCCAACCTGACTTCAGCCAAAATAAATGATCCTCACTGCAGCTGCCTTCTGGGCCTCCTGACTACCTCCACCCTCTCTTCACATCCAAGTCCTCGCTTAGGGAGGATTAGGGCTTTGCCTTGTTTTAAACATCGGCACATCCCTTTCCTCATTGGTTTAAAAGCATTTAAAAATTAGTTCTAGCACATCAATTAAAAAGTCAAATAATACTGAAGCTTAAAAAGCAGAAGTGAAAACTGTCTCTTTACTTCATCTCCTGACTCCAACCGTACTCTCCAAATGTAAGGACTATGAACCATTTGATGAATATTTTTTCAGGCTTTTCTACATGTATATAAATATATGTGTGTGCTTAGGAAGTTTTTCTAACTTCTTAGATTTCAATAATCTACGTATCTTTATTCTAAATCATTGTCCATTCCAAACTGTAAACTGCAGAATGTAAGATAAATGTATTTTAAGTTGATTTACACAGATCTGACCAAGGAAACACCTCTTCCTGATGGATTTATGGGAGCACTTGAATTGGACAAAAGGGTGGAAGGCAGGATGCCTCTAGAGACCCCGAGGTCACTAAGAGGGAAGAGTATGTTAGCTGCAGGGAGGAGAGTGTGCTACGGATAAGCTCACTGGCTTGACCTGCCAGGGCACACGTACTCCCGGGGCTGTGAAATCACTCACATGTGAATTGTCTGTGTCACAGAGAGGAGGGAGTGGGGGTGGATGGAGGGTGGAATGTGGGCTGGGCCAAGTTTAGGATTACAATTGCCCAGTGGCCTGGGGACAACATTTTAAATAGCCAGCATCTTCCTCTTCTCTCTTAGATAATTCTTCTTCCCCTTCCTGGACTGGACCTCTAGTAGCAACTTCAAAGAAGGTTGGTAACATTTCCTCTTTTCTTTTTCTGTTTGGTGGGGTCCATAGGATTTACAATCAAAGGATATTTTGTTGCTCTCCTAGAAAATGTCTCTGACATTTATGTGTGCATATGCAAAGAGTATATGCTATGTTCTTTACTCCGTGAAACTTCAGTGGCTCTTGACTTAAGGGACCATGTGATTTGGAGAAAGGGTATCCTAGATTGAGAGGAAAGACATCTGGGATAAATCTAAGAAAATGAAGGCTTTCTTTGTGAAATGAGAAAAGATCAAAAGAACATACCAATGTTGACATGGCTGAGTGAAAATAAAAATTTGAGTGCATGTGATTCTACTAAGTGATTATATATATATATATATATATATATATAGTCACTTAATCCTTATAGATAAGTATTTCCTTTTGATTCTCACTTTCACAAATGAGCAAACTAAGTCTCAAAGCAATTATTTTTTCTGAACTCAGGCAGTGAGTGGCATGGCACAAAGCAAAATCTGGTCAGGCTTGTGTGACTCTATACCTCATGTCCTTTCAGTTGAATGGTGCTGCCCCTGAGAAGTGGTACTCTGATGAGGCCATGGGCCCCAACAGGATAGGGGTAGTGTTTCTCCTGGGGTCTGGGAGGATGAAAAAGTGAAGGGATATGGTATTCTGTCATTGGAAGACATCCATCAGATGCTAAAGGAAGGTCCAGAATCAGCACAAAACATCAGACAACCTTCTCTAAAGGACTGAGAAATCTTGGAACCAGCTCCTTGGTTTTTTCCTTCCTATCCCACAATCTTTGGACTCTATTCCCTAATTTATCAGCTAAGCCAAGGTGCCTACTGTGCCCTGACATTCTGCATCCCTCTGGTAGCTCAGCTAGGGAAGCAGAGCCCCAGAAGAGTCTGTGCCCAGATGGGGCTCCTGCTGAGTAAGTTCTGTTAACATGAGTTTTTCTTGAGGTGTAGAAAAGAGTTTACTTGCCCACTTTTCTGCAACAGAAAAGTATATACATTCAATTCCCAGTCAGGGCACATGCCTGGGTTGCAAGCCAGTTCCCTGCAGGCCAGTCCCCAGCAGGGGATGCGCTAGAGGCAACCATACATTGATGTTTCTCTCCCCCTCTCCTTCCCCTCTAAAGATAAATAAATAAATATTAAAAAAAAGAAAAGTATATACAATCAGGGGAGAGTCATTAGAAGATGCTTATATTAACCTAGGAAGCCAATGTAATAAACCTAGGAAGCCAATGTAATCAAGGGATATAATGGAAAAAACAGGCACAGAGTGAGTTCAAGTCCTGGCTGTGCCATTTATTAGCTGTATGGCAGCAGACATTATTTAATCTCTCTGAGCCTTGGTCTCTTCATTTACAAAGCAGAGGTTATACTGCTTATATCTCAGGGTTTTTGTGTAGATTAAATGAAATAAATGTATGTAAAATGCTTAGTCCATAGTGAGCGTCTATTGTCACTTACTAAATGTGAGCCACATTCAATCTTATCCTCAATCCCATGGGAGTCCAGAATAGGGCAGTGAAGGGTTTAGAATGTTCTTTATTCATTTAGTGTTGTCTTCTCTACTGTGACAGTTTCCTACATATGTCATCACCAAAAAGGAAAAGAGTCCTGAATTCATCTTTCCCTTACGCTGATTTCAGAGAGAGGCAGAGGGAATAGCTGGAAGGCTCAGCTCATCTATTCAGAGCTCCTGGTCCCACTCGACCTCTCTCATTGCTTTGGAAGGAGTTTTTGAAAAACTGGCTTTTATTTTCATATTATAAAATAAAACATATTCTTTGATAAATATGTAGAAAATATTTATCAGACAAGAAAAATATTTCTATATTCCAGCCAGTGAAAGAAAAACATTTTGCTGAATATCCTACTCTTTCAGTGCATATAAATATATTTTCCCAGCATAATTGTACTGTATATCCTGTTTTATACCTGTCTTCACATCTGAGGAACCCCATTTCATTCAGTATGCTTTCTTCTGCAACACAGTTTTTAATGATTGTATAGTAGTCCATGGTGGGTATGTGCCATAATTTGTGAATCTATTTGTCATTTTTGAACATTTCTATTTTTTTGCCATTATAAGCAATGAACGTCTTCAAGCCCAAATCTTTACCCACAGTCACAATTATTTCCTTAGAATAAATTCCTGCAATGGAAATTGGTGGCTTTGAGATATTATTAAAATCCCATCCTTTCGGGGGTCCCCAGCATACAGAATGGAGAAACTGAAGCACATGGTACTACAAGCATGGCTAGTTGTATGGTGTCAGAGAATTTAGGCAATCCAAGCCTGTGGGAATTCTTCCATGTTCACAAACCCCAACCCAAGTGAACATGTGTAGTAGACGCAACATCTGTATTTCAGTATCAATCCTTCTCTCTGAAACAGGAAAGAAATATGTTTTCACCAGCTGTGACCCAGCCTTTACCAATAAGACATTCTAAGGAGGACCAGGGCCTGCAGATAAGGAAGCAGGAGTTCACTCCCTTCCAATGCATTTATTCCTGTGCACATTTCCTTGTGAAGGACGGGGAAGGGCTGCCCTTCCAGAGTTCTCAGCAGTGACAGAGTGCCCTGCTTGTTTTCTAGGTGGGATGGATAGCTGGGTCTTGGGCACAGCCAGTAATGGAGAAACAAAGCTAGTGTACCCAGTCATGGGGAAGATGGAGGAAGGTGGCACCCTGGAATGGGGGCACTGGAACAACAGGATGGAGTTTGTGCTGTCTGTGGCCGGGGAGATCATTGGGCTGGGCAACGTCTGGAGGTTTCCCTATCTCTGCTACAAAAATGGGGTAGGTGAGAGCCACTGCACCACCCACCAACCTTTAGAAGGAGGATGCCTCCATGTTCTGCACTTACCACCCCGTCCTTGGGAGTCCCGAAGACACACAGAATGCTGAAATTGGAAAGACCCTTCCTTAAAAGGCATTAAAGACAACACTGCAGGAGACCGAGACCCAGACAGATCACATTACTTTCCCAGGGGTTTTTCTATTGCAGCATGACATCACAGAAATGTGAGTACAGGCTTGAAACCAGGTGGACCAAAGTTTGGATTCTGGCTCTGCTATGTACTCTCTGCGTAATCTTGGGTGAGTTGCTTGACTCCCCGCAGCCTCAACTGCTGCTCCTTTAAATTGAGATAGTAATGCCTGCCTTTCAAGGATGTTGTAAGGATTAGAGGTAATGTATGTTAAGTGCTTAATAAATGGTAGCTATGTATAAAATGATATTGACATCAAACTGTCCTGTGGTCTCAAGATTCCTTAGCTGTGGACTTGTGTCTTTCTCCTATTCTCTGTTACTGTGGCATCCCTTAAGCTGTTCACTGCCTAACCCCACCAATATCATCACCTTCAATACCAGTGGTACTTCTTTTATACATCTCCCACTGAACATGTGTTGTGTGGAGCATTAGATCTAACTCTTTACTTTAGCTCCAGTTCTTTGTTGGCTTCTCATTTCCCTCCAGTCTCTCCCCTGGGGTACCTCTGCTACCCCCACAGTGGTGGTGGTCATTTTCCTGCACTCCTTTCAAGGAGTCCCAGGTCATTGCTGTGGGAAGCTCCAGAGGGCTTTCTTAGGTACAAAAGTTTTGGCTGAGCAGTGGCTTAGGAAGATCTCCTTGGTGGTTGGGCTCCTAGGTCTGGTTTTGAAGCAAGGCTGCAGTCAAGGCTGGAGTAAGGAGAAACAAAGAGGCAGGTCACTGGGGAAAATGCTGAAGGGAGTGGTAATTTTATGGGCCACAGGTAAAATGCAGAATACCCTAACGCAACATCTTCCCCTTTCTACATAGAATTTTTTATTGATTGATTTGAGAAAGATCAATTTTATTAAATATTTTATTTATTTGTTTTTAGAGACAGGGAAAGAAAGGGAGAAAGAGAGAGAGAGAAACATCAGGTGAAAGAAATATCCACCATTTGCTTCTCACATGCATCCCTGCTGGGACTGGACACACACCCAGGCATGCACCCTGACCAGGAACTGAATCTGCAACCTTTCGCTTTGCAGGACGAGGGTCAACCCACTGAGCCATGCAGATCAGGGCAAAACACTGTTTTGTTTTGTTTTTTGTTCCACTGACTTATGCCTTCATGGGCCAACCTTCCATTTTGTGGAGGAGGGGTGGGTAGAAGTCTCCAAAATGTATCAGGCTTATCTCACAATGGTTTTAAAGAGAGAAAAACCCTACAATTCAGAGTGGAGGTAGAAGGAATGGAGGACAGCACAGAGAGATGCTCTGAGCCCATAGTGTTATTCTCGGGGTTGTGGAGATTGGGAATTATCTCTAGGATTGGAGGTTAACTTATGTTTTTCCAGAGGGATAGGAAGGGCTTTTCTCTCCAGGAGTTTCTGGCCAGCAGCCCGAAATCACAGAACTTTGTTCAGGCTGCATTGTGAAGGAAAAGGGAAGTCTTTCTACTTTTGAACTAGCCCTGGACACTTCACATGCTTGTTTAGGAATTTAGGCCTGAACACTCTCCCTTCAGAGAATTGGGTGGAGGGGTGGGCTGGTGGTAGGAGAAGGAGGAGTCTGGAGCATAAGCTGGCCACTGAGACTCTGTACCTGGAACCTACTAACCAGCTTAGGGCCTCACATGGGAGAAAGCTTAGGTAGTGAGCTTTCTCCAAGCCTCTCCGGAATTGGGTAAAGGTTGGCCTGGGAATTAGCAGGAATGGCATGAAGACGTGGGAGAGAGTAGAGTGATTTACAGGTCTAGAGTAAAACCACTAGGCTGAAGAAGGGGGAGTAAAAGGCATAATGACAAGAGCAGCAGAGTCTAGAGTTTGGGTGGGACAAAGACCTGAATTGTTTATGTAAGTTTGAGAGTCATTAGACTTTGATGGCATAAGAAAAGAGAGCATGACCTTTAAAGATCTTGGAGAAGAGGAGGAACCAACAAAAGAGACACAGGAGGGGAAACCAGTAAAGGAGGAGGAAAATCAAGAAAGTGAAGTGTTGGGGACAAGTAAAGCAGTGCTCACAGGTAAGAGGGAGTGAGAACTAACCAAATGCCGCAGATAGCTTAAGAAAGATGAGAAACTACAGTTGGTTATTGGATTTGGCAGTATGGAGGTCACTGGTAACTTTGTCAGAACAGTTACAGTGGGGTGTGGGGGTAAAGGCTGATGGCAGTGGGCTTAAGAGCATAGAAGAGAAAAGAATCAGAAATAGAAAATATGGGCTTCTTAGGAAAAATTCAGTAGTAGGTGAAGTTTGTCTGCCCTCTGTAGCCCCCCTCCTTGGGGAAGTAAGCCAGTATGAGCACTGCATGGTGGTACCTGTGCACCCCTGTGTCTGGCAGTGTTGGTGGGGTGGGTCCTGGCTGATGGAGTTTCTGAGAAGCTGCACATTTTTAAAAAATCTCATCTAAGGATATATTTATTGATTTTTTTTGAGAGAGAGAAATATTGATTGGTTACCTCCCATATGTGCCCCGACTGGAGATCAACCCTGCAAACTTTTGGTGTATGAGATGATGCTCCAAGCACTGAGCCACCTGGCCAGGGCTGAGAAACTGCACATTTGAATTATTTCCCCAGCTTTCCACCCTCAACTTCCTGAAGGGAGAAGAAAGCATGATTTCCCCCCAAGGCATGTCCCATCAGAGCTCCATCCTCAGGGATGAGGAGATTCTGCATAACCCAAGGCATGCTGTGGGGTAGGTGGTAGGAGAGGATTCTGGCAACACAATTCGAATTTGCCAGAAGGGAATTTAAAAGACTTGCCTACCAATCTCAGTTCAGACAAAAGCAAATCATCTGCCAGCCATTTTATACTTAATTTCCAAGTCTAGGATGCTGAAAACCAGAGATAGATGTTGCCTGGGACTCTTGTTTTTGCGAGTCATAGACCACCAGCTGGAGACCACCTCATGTGAGGACAGTTCCTTGCCCCACTTCCCACCCTCTTTCCTTCTTCCTTGCCCCACTTCCCACCCTCTTTCCTTCTCAACTTCAATCTCTGAACACCCAGATCTTGGGTGCCTCAGAACACAATTCTTTCAGCTGGACCCTCTAGCTCCTTGGATCCTGGCTGCCAGCAGACTGAGTTGTTCAATACCTAGAATACCTAGGACTGGAGATTCCTCACAAGGCTACAGCAGAATGTACCATAGCTAGGGGCTCTCAGAGCAGAAGGGCTGTGGGGGAAAGGCAACAACAAAGTAAACCTTGGCTCTAACTGTAGGGAGAAAGAGCATGGGGACACCCCTGTGAAGGGAACACCCCTGTGAAGGGGACTAAATGACAGCTGGCATCAGGGAACACCCTTTTCCTTGATGCTGTTTGTAGGTAATTAAAAACAAAGAGAGAGACTTCCGCCAAGATGGAGGTATAGGTGGATGTGCCGTGCCTTCTCACACAACCAAGTTTAGGGACAACTAAATATTAGCATCAGAAAACACAACCAGAACACGGAAAATTGAACTTTTTGGAAGTCCGTTAACAACAAATTCTTCAGCCCGACCGGTAAGGGGCGAAACCTGCGTCTCGTGAGGGGTTGCACAGGAGGACTCCGGTCGGACGGACCCAGGCGCGGAATCCAGACGCGCGAATCCAGATGCACGGGTTCCAAACGCAGGATTGGACCTAGTGAGCGACCGAGCAACCCACCGGGTGAGCGACTGCTGAGGAGACAGTGGGGAGGCGGTGCTGCGTGTTGACTGCGGTTGCCTGTCTGCGGGCGAGCGGACAGGCGAGGGAGTGGGCGGTTGCACCGGGGCCGGCGGTCCCCGTGGCATGCGGCAGTAGAGGGCGCCGCCATTTCCCCGCTCTGACCACGTCCCCACATACAGCGTCACAACCCAGCGACCTGGGAGTCCAAGGCACCGCTTCTCACATTTAAAGGGCCAGAACAGACCAAAAATGTCGCAGGAAGACCTCAAAGCCCCAGAGATAAATCTAAGCGACGAAGAAATAGCAAAACTCTCAGACGCACAGTTTAAAACACTGGTCATCAGGATCCTCATAGATCTGGTTGATTATAGCCACAAATTAGAGAAACATATGAAGGCTAAACTAAGGGAAATGAATGGAATTCCACAGGAAACCCATAGAGATGAAAAGGAAACTGGGACTCAAATCAATGGAGTGGACCAGAAGAAAGCAAATAATGGCCAAACAGAAAAGAGTCAAGGAGCAAGAATTCAAAGAAATGAGGAGAGGCTTAGGAACCTCCAGGACATCTTTAAACGCTCCAATATCCGAATTATAGGGGTACCAGAAGGGGGAAAGACACAACCACCAGTGGAAAAATTATTTGAACAAATAATAAAAGAAAATTTCCCCAATCTGGCAAAGGAAATAGACTTCCAAGAAATCCAAGAAGCTCAGAGAGTACCAAAAAAGTTGGACTCAAGAAGAAACACACCAAGGCATATCATATTTACATTAGCCAAAATTAAAATGAAGGAGAGAATCCTAGAAGCAGCAAGAGCTAAGGGGACAATCACCTACAAAGGAGTCCCCATCAGACTGTCAGCAGATTTCTCAAAAGAGACCTAACAGGCAAGAAGGGGCTGGAAAGAAATATTCCAAGTCATGAAATCTAAAGACCTACAACCAAGATTGCTCTATCCAGCAAAACTTTCATTTAGAATGGAAGGACAGATAAGGTGCTTCTCAGATAAGATCAAATTCAAGGAGTTCATCATCACCAAGCCCTTATTATATGAAATGTTAAAGGGACTTATCTAAGAAAAAGAAGGTAAAGAAACATGAACAGTGAAAGAACAACAAGCTCACAGTTATTAACAACCACACCTAAAACGAAAGCAAACTAAAAGAACAGC